GGGGGGGCGCAACGCTTACGGTTGAGGCCAACATCATGGTAGGTCAGGATAGCCGGGCGATTGCCCTTGGGGGAGCCCCGGATGACCACGTGCAGCAGCCCGTAGGGGGTCTCAATGTCATGTTCCTGGGGGGAAGAGGAGAGACAGGGTGACGCTCGCTCTCCCTGCAGACAACCCTCCTGCCCCAGCGTCCCACTCCACGTCGCTCCCTCCCTGGCATTGCAAGCCAAGAGGAAGGGGAAGGTGAGTGACACAGTGCCGCCTGCACTGCTCCGACTCTGCACAGCACATGTGTGTACTCAGCCATGGGCACAGGCCATGCGTACACACCTGGGGCTTGCCAGGTTTGCCCAGGCAGGTGGCCACAGGCCTCCCTAGCACCTAAAACCTTGGAGCAACTGAAACCTCGCCCCATGGGGATCATCCACAAGCAAGTCAGTGCATCCCAGCCAGCCCCTATAGGAAAGATTGGTATCCCCCCAACTGGGTCAGGAAGGCCACCCTGTCGATACTGCGCACAGTACTCAAGGAAAATGGGAGCAGTTGTCCTGGGAAAATGCAGAGCTCCAGCAGCCCTGCATCCCAGTCAGTGGCAGAAGGCAGAACAAGTCACGCATATACTGTGCTCCCTGAATACACTCCCAGCCTCCATTGACTTGTGGCACGGGGATTTCCTGAGCTGGATGTGACTGCTGCATATTTAATAGCACCCTGTGGATAGTCCTCCATGGACTCAGACACCCTCTCCTTGAACCCTCGTCGCACCCTTGCCTTCTCTGCAGACCCAAGCGGATGTTCATCAGAGCAATTGGCACAGCATCCCTGGGCTAAGAAGCGGCTGTGAGTAGAGCCTGTACAAGCAGCTGGTGAGATGACAGCACAGCCCAGCCTCCTCCAACAGGGAAACTGAGGCCCAGATGCCACCTAGGAGCAGCTCCTGGGAAACGCGCACTCATGCCCCAAGAAAGGGTCCAAGGAAGCGGGGGGGGTCATTCGAGATGGCACAGGAGGATTGAGACGGGATGGGAGGATCACGAGATGGGATAGGTGATTTTTGGAAGAGGATGGGAGGACATGTAAAGAGATAGAGGTTTTTGGGACAAGAGGATTTGAGAGAGGAGGATCATGGGATGAGACTTGAGTTTGGGATGGGGTGGGATGAGATGGGATGACCATGGGAAGGGATATATGAATCACAGGATAGGAGAACTTGGGATAGGATAGGAGGATTTAGGATGGGATAGGAGGATCATGGGACAGGAACATGGGATGGGATAGGGTTTTGGGACAGGAGGGGTGGGGAAGGGATGAGAGGACGTGGGATGGGCCAAAGGGCCTTGGGGAGGGCAGGATCATGGGATGAGACACGAAGACCATGAGATGGGATGGGAGGACTTGGCACAGGAGGACTTGAGACCAAGAGAGTTTTGGGGACAGTATAGGGGATCACAGAGCAGGCCACCTGGCCTGGATTTGCCATGTCTGGTGCAAACAGGCTGAGGCTGGATCTTGAACACTACTGTGGGAAATGCTGCATCCTGACCCAAAATGACAGCTAAAATGACTTTAAAACCCCCTGGTCTGAAGAGGCTATGATAAGAAGCAGTGACCAGGACTGCCCCATGCCTCAGTTTCCCTGACTGGAAAGGAGGTGCAGCCTGGCAGGGAGATGGGCTACTACATCAGGGACATTTGAGCAGGCTGGGGCCGACACCTTCCCAACCACACTTTCCCCTCCCTGCTGCAGCCTGGGAGAGGAGGAGGCAGCAGCCAAGAGGACCCAGTCGCTGGGAGCTGGGGAGGGTGGAGGTTTCGGGGGGGATCGATGACCTCCAGCCCTGACGTGCTGCACCCAGGGTTGCTTGTAGCCTCCAGTCCTCTCCTCTGTGGCCAGCATTGCCAGCGAGCCAGGGAAACTGAGGCTGTGAGCCCGGGTGCCTGCCAAGGCCTCTGCTTGGGACAGAATGGGGTGAGGAACTGTCCAAACGTCCCTGTCCACTGGCTGGCAGTGACCTCAAAGCCAGCATGCCATCACCCCCAGTGTCCCCCATCCCTGTGATGCTCTTGGTGTCACAGGTGCTCCCTGTGCCAAATAGGTCAGGCAGGGGATGCTGATGTGGTGCCCGACCCAGTACCGCCCTCCCTGCAGGCATGGAGCATCCCTGGAGGTGAGATGTTGGGGGGGAGTGGGCCCCTCTGCCTGCCCATGTAGCACTCCTGAGGGCCACGTGCCACCAAGGACTCTGAAGGACGCAGGCCTCAGGTTGAAGAAACCACTGGAGGACAGGGTTTCCTCGCTGCGGTGACACCCCTTGACAAAGTCTGCCCAGCCTCAGGGGGCACCTGGCGCCTGAGGGCAGCTCAAGGGCTTCACGGAGACGACACGTGGCGCCCCAAGGGCACCCTGGCCCCAGCCTGCAAACATGGGCAGCCCCTCTGCTCCCCAGCTTGCACGGGGCAGTGCTTCTCTCCCTGCTGACTGCTGCCAGCAAGGAGCAAGGACATCCCCTGCAATGATGGATGGGGAAACCAAGGCAGAGGAAGGGCCTGGCCCAAGGTCACCGAGCGGGAAGTCTGATCCCAGGCATGGGGGGTGCCTACTCCCCGTCCACATGCCCACGGGCCATCCGACCCCAAAATCACATGATCCAGGTGCCCCTTCCCCAGCAGCTCCTTTCCCAGTGCGGCTGCCCCCATCACCAAAGCCAGGCGCGTCCCTGCCCGTGGTGCAGCCTCTGCAGCATCACTGGGTACATAGCCTTGCCCTTTGCCGCAGGGACACCAGCTTGGGGGAGATGCTTGGAATGGAGGGGACGAAGTAGGCAATCGATGCCACGGTCCCAGCGAGGAGGGGTGCGGAGCAGTGTGGATGGGGGGCACAGCACCCACGGATACCTGGCAGAGCCCAGCCCTGTGCAAGGCTGAGCAAGCACAAGGTTATCTGCTCGCCCACTGCAGCACTCCCACCCCCTCCCCTGCCTCTTCCTCTGAGCCCCAAAGCGGCCACTCGCCCTCCCTGCAGTGCCACGCACCCTCCTTACGGTGCCACCACTGGTGCCACCCTCCCTCCCCGCAGCGCCACCCTCCACAACAGCCTGTTGCCACCCCCTCCTTGCGGTGCCACCACTGGTGCCCCCCTCCCTCCCCGCAGCGCCACCCTCCACAACAGCCTGTTGCCACCGGGCATTGCAATCACTGCAGAGCCTGGTCAGCAGCTGAGGGCTCGCTCTAACACCGCAAGAAAACACCTCCCATGCCCTGCGCCCATCCCCAAGCCGGGGGGGTGGGGGTCTCGGGAAGGGGTGCTACCGCCCCTGCAGCCAGGGCCAGCCCAAACGCAGCCTCTGGCCGCTGCGTCTGCACTCAGCCGGCTGCTGCATCTCTTTCAGGCTCAGGGAGGACATGCTCAAGGACAATGCGGCCCTGACACCCACGGCATGGCAGGGATGGAGCAGTGGGGCCAGGGGGAGAAAAGGCTCCCCGGCAGCAGATACCCCCTCGCTGATGCCTGGCTGGCCCCAGCCAAGCCCCGGCTGGTGCAAAGGTGCAGCCTAGGGCAGCGGGGGAAGGAATTTGTGCAAAGCCCAATCTGGAGGGTGGCCAGGGGAACGGCGATACCTACCCCATCCCAGCACTCAGGCATGGTGAGGAGCCGGGCAGGCAAGGATGCACGGGCAGAGCAGGCCGAGCACGGGGTCTCTGCACGGGTGACGCAGCGGCTGAGGCGAAGTGGAGCTCTGCGCTGGGTCAGCCCCTCGCCTCGATTTATAGCGGAGCCCCAGCCCTGCGCTAATCCCTCCCTCGCCCTTCCCCCTCGCCGCGCCGCGCAGCCCCGGCAGGTTTGGCCTCCATTGCAGGCGAGCGCTGCGATGGAGCCGGCACCCGGCTATTGGCTGCCACGCGAATTATTCATGCTCCAATTGGCCCTAAATACCCTTGTTTATGAAGAAAAACGCCCGGCACCCAGCTCCATCTTCCTTCCTTCGCCAGCCTGAGCCAGGCGCCAGTGCCCAGATGGGGGCTGCGCTCGCACCCATTGCAACACACAGCACTGCAGCCGCAGAGCCCAGCACCCCTAGCCCAGACACGCATGGCTGCACAGCTCCACACCGCTGCCAAACATGCAGAGTCATGCTCAAGCCTGCAGCTGCCTGGGCCGTGGAGTCCTGCAGCAGCACATGCACACCAGGAAACAGGTGTGCGCGTGCACACACACTGATCCATCCATGACCATGCAGTTACATGCATGGCAACACGTAAAACCACAGACACACATGGACCCAAGCAAAACCATGTCCTCCCCCACTCCACTGCACATGGACACTACAGACAAATAAATAGTGACCCTTGTCAAATCAGGTGGGACCCGTGCCCCCCCCCCCCCCAAAAGCTTGTGGCCAGGGCTGCCATTGATCATGTGTGCTCCAGCACACAGGCAGACTGGTGTGCACCCCTGCACACGAAGCAACACACACATGAACATGCATGAATGTTGCCCCAGAAGGAGCTGCGATACTGGCATTACCCTGCATGTGGGCATGGCATGGCCCATGCCTGAGGCAGGAACACGCCTACGTGCAAAAAGACACATGGACAGTTTGGTTGTGCAGACACAGAGCATGTTTCAGAACACTTACATGTGTCCTGGCAACCCCCAACTCTCCCAGGACGGGACATCCTGAACCAGATAGCACCACGGGCTGCTCCGAAGAGCCTGGGGCCAGCCAAGCTCTGGGGCACCCATCTCCTAATCCTACAGTGGTGTGGTCTCCCCAGCCAACGACTCAAGGGGCGCAGCTGGGAAAACGCAGAAAGATTGGCCTGGAGGAGTGCTTACAGATGACAGGAACACTTGCAAAGGGCATCGAGCCACCAGCGCATCCTCCCACTGCATGGGAGCAGTGGAGCAGGAACCCATGCTCTGTGCCAGGCTCTGGGGGACCCTCAGGGGACACCCAGCCACCTGCACTCTTGCCTCCCCCTGGACCAACAAGGCAACTGGGACATCCCTCACACCATGCCGTGGCACTGATTTGGCACACACACAGTCTGCAGAGCCCAGCCCCCATGGCCACCATAATCCAATGGGAACGGAGCTGTGCCGCACTCAGTCCCAGCAGCACATGCCTGTTCCCTCCTGCATGCCAGCACCATGGCCATGCGGTGACCAGCACGGGGAGCAGATGCTCATGAAAAGAGCAAAAAGTGCACGAGCAGCTGCAGCTGAGAGCACTAAGAGGGGCAAATCGTATAGCTGCAGTGAGGCAGGAGGGCAGCTGGCCCAGGGACGTCCACTTTCCCAAGATCCTGCAGGGGGGGTTCCGCAGTGGCTGTCCTGCCATGGGCATGCTCAGGAACAGCCCGTGCAAGTCCCAGCGAGGTGGCATTAGCAGCCACCCAAGGTGCCCTCCTTTACCACTTGGCTCAGCTGCGGTGCCAGCAAAGCCCCGGCTTTGCAGTGGCCTCTTGGCAACGCTGGGAGACGGAGGAAGAGATCGGTGCCCCGCAGTGCGGAGGAGGGCAGAGGCAGGGAGGAGGCAGTGGGACACAGAAAGCCTCCAAGAAAGAGCGAGAGGTGGGGAGGGGGGAGTGGCCAGGCTGAGAAAGAAGGGAAGGTGATAAAAGACAAAGGCAGAAAGGCCAAGGCAAAGGGAGGCATGAATGCAAAAGGGCAGCAGGGAGAGTGGAGAGCTCAGTAAAGCTGGCTCTGCTCAAATGGCATTGAATGGCACCATCACCCCTTTGGCTACTAGCCCACCTGCGTGGCAGGAGGCCCAGACCGCCAGTGGGCTGGGCGCCCTGGCAGAGGCACTGCCCCGGTCCCCTCGTCCCATCCCTGCTGCAGTGCCAGAGCCCTGTCCTCTCCACTAATCTCTTCCCTTCCTTCCCAGTTTGCCCATTGGGGCAAAGTAAAAGGCTCCCCTCTCCCCAGGGTGGGAGGAAGGAGTGGGGCTCGCTCCAGGTGCCAACTGGGAAGCCTGTCCCATCCTCCCCTCTTCTACTACCCCCGTAGGCCCCCACGCGGCTCTCGGAGGGGAACCAAGAGGGCACAGGGCCAGGCTGGCTTGAGGAAAGCTGTCTTTATTTTTGCTCGGTTCATTTTTTTAGGGCAACGAGGCCAGGTGAAGGTATTGCTGTGGCATTTGCCCTCTGGATCTGCTCCCCTGGGCATGACTGAGAATGTGACTCAGCGTTGCATCGGACCAGTCCCTGCAAAACTGGAGTGCAAAAGCCATCCCAGGAGAGCAGAAATGAGCCACTTAGCCATTGCTCTTTAACATCCTCTGTGTGCTGACCAGGCTTTGCCCTGGTATGGCTAGATGAGCCATCACGGAGCCACATGGGTGCCCATGATGCTACCAGGAGCTGCGGGCCACCCTGCACCACCTCTCCTGCCTCATCCTTGCTCTGGTGATGCCAAGATTTTTGGTTTGCTCTCAGGCAGTCGACAGAGACCCCAAGCAAGCGGGGCAGAGAGCAACCCAGACCCCGCCATGATCCCTGCAGCTCTTGGCCCTAGTACTTTGCCAGCTTTGGAGCTGCCAGAAAGGGCTGCATTTCTTTTATGCAATTGTCATTTTTGCATAGTTGTCTGGTAACCTGTCAGCTGCACCTAAGAAGTCTACAGAAATGATATCAGGGCTCTCTCAGGCCACTAGCCCTCTCCTGCCGGCTCTGCAAACCATGGCAGCCACTTCCTCGAAT